TTTTGATAAAATTAAAGGGGTTTTTAAAATTTTAAGAAAATAAAATTTAAAACCCCGGCGTGCCTTTAGAAAGAAATAGCCCCAAAAAATTTTGGTTTTTTTTCCAAAATTTTGTATGAAAATTTTTGTTTTTAAAAAAGGGAAAATTTTGGAAAAAAGGGTTTCAGAAAGATAACGGGGTTTTTTCCCCCTCCACGGCTTTTTTTTTTTTAACTAAAAAAATTTAAATTTTTCCTCCCCATGTTTTTTCCCCCTTCCCGTCTGAAAAATAAAAAACCCACCAAATTTCTTTTAGAAAAAGGGTTTCTATTAAAATACAGATCTTTTTTTTTAACCCATTTTTCAATTGTGAAACCCGGCCCATACTAAAATTTTTTGTCAAAAAGACCCTTTTTTTCCCATAACCCTTTTTTCCCCAGTTTACCCCCCAAAACCCAATTTTCGATCCCCAATTTTTCAACTAATTGGGCCCCCTTTAAAAAAAATAGAAATTTATATATTTTTGTTTTAAAAAAATTTTTTTCCCCTTTTTTAAAGTTTAAAAAATTTTTAAACAAAACGCATAAGTTTCCTAAAACTTTTGTGGGGGAAAGGGTTTCCCAAATAATTTGTAAAAATTTTTAAAATCCCAAATAAAACCCACCCTTTTACAAAAATTTTAAATCCCCAAAAAGTGGTTTTTTAAAATTGGTTTGTAAAAACAAACTTTAAAGGGGGTTGTATTAATCAAAAAAAAAAAGTGTGGGTTTTAACTTTTAACGGGGGTTGCCCCCTTTTTAAAAGGAGAGAGAAACTAAAAATTTTTTTTTTTTGGGTCGGTTTTTAAAAAATTTAAAAGCCATTTTTTTTTTTGGCCCCATTTTTAAAATAATATTTTGGGGCCCGTCTTTTAAAATTGTTTTTCCCCCGAAAAAGGGAATTTTAAATATTTTTGGGAAACCCTAACTGTTTAAGGGGAACTATCGGGTGGGGAAAATAAACGTGTTTCCCAACTAGAAGAAAAAATTCTGAAAAAGGGGTTTTCCCTTTAAAAGGAAAATTTAAAAAAAAATTTTAAGGGGGGGGGTTTTCCCAAGTACTGAGGCCCTGGGGGAAAACCCCGGGCCCAATTTAATAGTTTTTTTTCCTTTTCCAAAAAAAAAAGGAAAAGTTTCCAACGAAATACTTTTTTTTTTTTTTTCCCCATTTAAATTAAAGGGTAACTAAGAATCCATTTAAAAAAGAATCTTGCCCTTTTAATTCAAAATTTTTTTTTAATTTTTAAAAAAACCCAAAAACCCTTAATCCCCAAAAACGATAAAAAGGCCCCTTTTAAACTAAAAATTCAAAAAAAAGGATGAAAAGCCCAAAATTTTTGTCATAAAAAAAACTTTGAAAAATTTTAAAATTTGTAAAAATGTAAATTTAAAATTGATCCCTTTTTAAAGAATGCCCGGGTTTTAGGAAACCTAAAACTTTTTTTTTAAATTAGTTTAAGTTTTAATTTTCCCCATAAAAAATATTTTTATGAAAAAAAACTTAAAACTTTTTTTCCTTTTTCCTAACTTTTTAATAAAATTTAAAAAAGTAAAAGGGGGGTTCCCGAAAATTTTTGAGGGCTTTTAAACCCAAATTCCAACCCTTTTTAAAAAAAAGGGCAAAAAACATTTCCCAATTTTTTTCCCGGGGTATCGGGGGTACAAATTTTAAAAAAGATTGAAAAGACTGTTGGAATAATTTTTTTAAAGGGGGTTTTTCCAAATGGAAAAAAGGGGGGGCCCCCCTTTTTAAAACACCCCCGATGGCTTTTTTTTCCCACGGGGCCACTTTCCCTTTTTTAAATTTAAAAAGGGTTTTGAAAAAAAAGGGTTCCAAATAAATTTAAATTGTAAAATTGCTAAAAACTTTCGAGCGGTTTTAAAAAAATTTTCCCGCCCCTTATTATAACTAGGGGGTGGAAAAAGTATTAAAAGCCCCCATCAAAAAATTTTGAAATAGATACAAAAAAAAATCTTTTAATTTTAAATGGGGCCCTTGGTTTTTAATCAGAAAAGGCTAGGGAAATTTATAAATCTTTTTTTAAAAATGGGGGGAATACCATTTAAAATTTTGGGGGGAATTTTTCCCCCTTTAAAATAAAAATTTTTTTTGAACCAAATTTTTCCCCAAATTTTGGGGACGGGGTTTTCCCTTTGAACTAAATAAACCCCCCAAAAGGGAAAAAATTCGAAAAATTAAATTTAAAAGGGAAATCTTCTTTGCATCCCCCTTTTAAATAAATTTTAAATTTAAACCTTATTTTTTAAAAAGTTTTATTTTCCGCCCAAAAATTTCCCCTTTTAAATTTTTCCCGGGGTAGAAATAGTTTTTTTCCCTTTTTTTGGGTTTTTTTTTTCGTTTTTTTAAAATTTGGTTTTCCCAAAATTTTTCAAAATTTTGTCCCAAAAGGTTTTTTTTTTTTTTGGACGGATGGGTTTTGCCAAAAGTGGGTGGGAAAATACACTTTTTTTGAAAAAATTTTTTTAAAAAAATTTAAACCCCTGTAAATTTTTTTTTTTTTTGCGGTTTTAAAAAAAAATTCAGTGATTTGGCCCAAAAAATGCCCAAAAGTAAAGTTTTTTTTTTGAATTTTTCCCATTAATTTTTGTTCAAAATTTTCCCTTTTTTTTTATTCCCAAAACCCCGTCTTTTAAAAGGTTTCCTTTAAATTTTAAAATTTTTTTTGTTTTTTAAATATGGGGCCCCAAAATTTTTTCCAAAAAAATTGGTTTCACTAGATTAACTTCCCCCCTTTGGAAAATTTTAAAAACAACCCAAAAGAAATCCCCCAATTCCCAAAAGAAAAACCAAACATTCCCCCAAAAAGGAAAATCTAATAAAAATTTTTTTCCCGGGGGAAAAAGGATTTAATTCTAGTGGTTTTTAAATTTAAAATAACTTTTTTTCCCAATTTTTTAAAAAAGAAGTATATTTACGCAAATTTTGTTTTATTTTTTTTTAATTTTGATTTTTGGCCCCCTCATTTTAACCCCGCCCCCCCTAAAAAAAATAATTTATTTCAATTTTTCCTAGGGAAATTTTTTTCCCCATACTAAATATTAATCCTACCCCAAAAATTTAAAAAGTTTCCCGTTGGGTTTGGGCCTTTTAAAAATTAAAACGAGAAAAATTAGGGTTTTTAAATTTCCCCGTTTTTTTTTCCCACCCCAAAATAGATTAAAGGGGAAAAAATAATTTCCCAAAAATTTTAAAAAAATTCCCCTTTTTGGGGAAAATTTCCCCCCAAAAGGGAAACCACGAAAAATTAAAAAAAGACCCCCAAAAAATTGGGCGGTATTTTTTTTGGAAAATCCCATTTTTCCCAAAAAAACCCAAAAATTTTAGAAGGGAAAAGGGGAGCCCCATTTTGGGAATATCAAAATAAATTTTTAAACCTTTTTTGGGTAAAAAAAAACCCAAATATCAAAATTTCCAAGGAAAAATTTTTTTTATATAATAAAACCCTTTTTTTCCTTTAGGGGCCTTAGGGGAAAAATTTTTTGTTTGAAAAAAAAAGTTTAAAAAAACAAAATAAATGTTTTGGGTTTTCCCGGATTTTTTTTTACATCCCCCGGGAATAAAAATTTTTAACAAATTTTTCAACTATTAAAAAGGAAAATTTATGAAAAGAAAGTAACTTTCAGAAAACCCTTTAAAAATCCCCCCAAAAAGTATTGAAAAATAATAAAACCACTAAACCACAAACTAATGAAATTTGTTTAAGCGGAAAATAAAACAACAATTCCCGGTTTAAATAAAAAAAACATAAAAAGGGCGAAATAAAAATTAAAAATTTTTTCCGAAAACCCGGAACCTATCCCTTTTAAAAAAACCAAGCCCAAGCCAATTTTTTTAAAGAAATTTTTAAAAATTCCTCCCTAAAATTTAAAAAGTTAATTTTCCCCTGCCCCTTCCCCAAAACATTAAAAGGCCCCCAATGGTCGATCTTTTAAGGAAAAATTTAAAAATCAAAAAACCCCTAAAAAGGTAAAATAAAAAATTTGGTTTTTATCCCAAATAACAGATGGGGAACCCATTTGGAAAAGGGGAAAAAAAGTTACAAAACAAAAAGGAAAGAATGGTAAAACAAAAAAACCCCGAAAATAAAAAAAAAGCCCAAAGGGGAAAACCAAAGTATTCCAAAATTTAGGGGGAAAAAAAGATAAAATAACTTTTTAAATGTTTTTCCCGGGGTAAACCCAAAAATTTTTTCCAAGATTTTGGGAAATCCCCCAAGATAAAATTTCCCTTTTTTTTAAATTTTGGGAAACCAAAATATCTTAATAACTTTTTTAAAAAAAAAAAATTTTTTTAGGGAAGGGAAAAAAATTGAAAATAAAACCCTTAAAATTTAAATTTATTGGGGTTGAAAATTAAAGGGTGGTTTTTTTCCCGGGCCCACGCCCTTCCCTTCCATCATTTTTTAAAAGGAAACGTTAAAATTAAACAAGGCCCCCAGGGAATCAATTTTCCCCTTCTGTAGAATGGTATTCTTCATTTTCAATCAAATCTAAATCATGTTATATGGCATGAACATTTGGAACAATATACCTTTAAATATTCGTAATGTTAATAACCTTAAATGTTTTAAAGAAAAATACAAAGCATATCTTGATGTTCATATGAATGAATGAGTGAGTGAGTGAATGAATGAATGAATGAATTAATTAATTAATTAATAAATGAACGAACGAACGAACGAATGATGCAATATACGTATATGTTAAAACAAATTGTTGAGTGTCTGTCGAAAGTATATGAGATGTAATATTCTAAAAATTACATATTATACATTCATTTTTCTGCCTATGCATGTCCTGTTGTTGTTGTTGTTTTCTATTTCAGAAGGCCACATTGGAAATAAGATATATATGATTGTTATTGTATGTTCTTAATGTGTAACCTTCTTTAAATAAAGATTATTATTATTATTATTATTATTATTATTATTATTATTATTATTATTATGTTGTTGTTGTTGTTTAGCAAGCAGGTATGTCTGTTTTTCATCATTCCCAAGCTCATCTCTGTCTGTATTAAGATCAATTATGGTTTGTTCTTTAGATGATATATCTTTTTCTTCCTCAATTTGAGGTACAACTTGACCTAGGCAATGGGCGTGTACTGTAGAATTGTTATCCGAAAAGTCATTTTTCTCATCATTTTTATGTATTTCATCATCTAAATCATTTTGCTGAACAAGTGTGTCTTTTTGATTTTCATCATTTTCGAGCTCATTTCTATCTGGATGAAGATCAATTATGATATGATCTTTAGATGATAGATCTGTTGCTTCTTCAATATCGGGCAAAGCTTGACCTAGGCAATGGGCGTTTACTGAAGATTTGTTAGCAGACAAGTCATTTTCATCATCATTTTTGTGTATTTCATCATCTAAATCATTTTGCTGAACCATTGTGTCTTTTTGTTTTTCATCATTTTCGATCTCATCTCCATCTGGATGAAGATTAATTATGCTAAGATCTTTACATGATAGATATTTCTCTTCTTCAATTTCGGTCACAGCTTGACCTAGGTAACTGATGTTTACAGTAGATTTGATAGGAGACAAGTCATTTTCCTCACTATTGTTGTGTATTTCTTCATTTAAATCATTTTCATGTTCGAGCTCATCTCTATTTGAAGATTACAGATCTTTTGCTCCTTCAATTTCGGGCACAACTTGATCAAGAGAATGGTCGTTTTCTGTTGGTTCGTTTACAAACATGTCATTTGCTTCATCATTTGCAAGCATTTTTTCTTCTTCGTTTCTTTCTGTTAGTGTTTCTTTTTTGAGCTGATCTGATAATCTACAATTAGCAATAATGTAATTTGATGAAATGCTTTAGCAAGTTAATGTAAATCGCGTAAATGTATCTTTTTTGACAAGACCTAAAACAGAGGAGAGAGCATAGTAACGACGACGTTTTTTTGACGACGTTACTATGCGACGACGTCACATTTGCCCTGATGATCATAAGAGAAACCGATTGGAAAATAATTAAATAAGTTAACTCATGGACTGTGTTTTTTGTTTTATTTATATGTGACTTTTTCCGGCACTTGTTTTCATTTTTTGTATATATATATATATAATATATATATATATATATATATATATAATATATATTATATATATATATATATATATATATATATTATATATAATATATATATATATATATAATATATATATATTTACACTCATCCTTAAGTAACAATAAGTATTTGAACCACAGAAATTAATGAAAATTTATGAAATTTTTACTGAAAATCTGTAATATGAATGAGGAGTGAGTAAACTATGTATATGAAATTGCGTTCCTATAATGGGCTAAGTAAAGTTGGTCTTTTCTTAAAAAAACTACCAGTTTTTTTATGACACAACCTATATTCTTACCACCTACGCGCAAAGTGGGTAGATAGATAGAAAAATATTATATTCGTGTAAATTCATTACTTAAATATGAGCCCGTTGAATAAAATAATATCATGCTCGCTAGAGGCTGCATTTTATAATTTTAATTCACTCGTTCAATAAATTCAGTATTTAACCTACACTCATTCAATATCCCTTATATATTTTTTTCTAATATTATCTTTCTTTTTGCTTTCACTATTCCATCTCCCCTGGCATATTCAAGTTTCTTTTTGTTAAGAAACATTTCCAAATATCATATTGTAGAAGCGAAGAAGTGACTACATATTTAATTTTATATTTTCAATGTTATAAAAATTAAACAAATGCGTTTAAATAGTTTTCAAAAAAATCATTAAAATGTTGTGATGACAACACAAAACACGTCTATGGATTATGAATACATTTTAAGTTAAATGATCATTTTGAATAGTTCATCTAAATGAATTTTGTGCGCATGTGCGCGTGTGTCTCGGTCAATTTAACTAGGGGGATCTGGAATAAGAAATACAGGCATTTAACAAAATTAGAAATTATTAAGTTTAAACGTTTGCTTTAAAATTAACGTAAATTTTCAAAATATTTTGTTACTATCAAATATCTATTATGTGACTTTTGATATTATATAGAATAATTATTACATTAATTACTTTATAAAACTTCCATTAAGCAAACTTACTTTTCTTTATGATGAAAGTAAATTAAATATACAACTGCTGTAAGAATCAGTGCAAAGTCAACCAGAGCTACTACAACCACAATTACAATATTGCTTCTTTCTTCATCTGTAAAAAAAAATTATTAAATAATCATTTTCATTCTCTGGTGTGAAACGACCTTAAAGTATTGTAAATGCGCTTCAACTGCCAACGCAAGCATCATTTAGTTTTATTCAGGGCATGATCCAATACTTGAGTAGTTTGTTTGTTTGTTTGTTTTATATCTTGGCGGTCAGTCCATCAAAAAGGATTCCCTGAACACCATACCTAGAATTACTAATTAATCCGTAAGAGACCGAACACAAGTGAGAGAGACAAAGGGCCAATACACTCAACGTCCGAGATTGTCATGAAGAATTTGCCCCCTCAAAGGATCGAACCAGCGATGTCTGGGCTCTCTCTATTTATCTAAGCTGGCAGCTATCGATACTTGATTAGAACATCATTTAGCAGTGCAAGGGCTTACTTAAACTAGAACTGTGTCCAAAGGACACGGATGCCCCCACTGTGCAGATGTGCTCGTAAACAAGAGCATGCATATCTGTATGTAAGATTTTTATGTGGAACTTTTTATTCTGGAAAAAATCAACAAAGGGCCATAATTCTGTTAAATTTGGTCGCAGCAAAAATTCCTTTCTTTACTACCATCTACACAATAAGGTTGTTCATCCCTGGAAGTTTAAGCAAAATCTGCCATCCGGTTTAAGAGGAGTTGCGTTCACAAAATTTCTACATAGTATATAGTGAAAAAATCAACAAAGGGCCATAATTCTGTTAAATTTGGTCGCAGCGAAAATTCCTTCCTTTACTGCCATCTACACATTAAGGTTGTTTCATCCCTGGAAGTTTAAACAAAATCTGCCATCCGGTTTAAGAGGAGTTGCGCTCACAAGATTTCGGGACGTACGGACGAACGTACGGACGGACAGACGGACGGACAAGTGCAACGCTATATGCTACCCACTTTTTGGGAACATAAAAACATCTTCAAACATTTGCAAGTCTCAAAATCAATTCATGCCATAAACGAATAATTCTTAGTAATTTAACTGATATATGAACGTTTTGTTGCAGTTTAAATTAATCTATGAAATATACATTTTGAACTTTGAAAAAAGATTATAATTTTTACGATACTCAGCGCCATTCATAATCAATCAATATTTATAAAGACTAGAATCGCACAACAGTCTATAGAAAGAAACAAAGTCAAATCTACCTGAATCTTCCGTCATGTATCTTTGAACAGTATGGTACGACTCTTTATGTTCATTACCATAATGCGCAACAATTTTCAGATAGCAATTTCCATTGTCACTAGCCTTGGCGGAAATTACCTCTGAGTACTGCATGTGTTGATCATTCCCGCAATCAGAATTATTCGAACAACTTCTTGTAGTTGTGTTGTGGATTTTTGGGTTATTTCTTTCTCGCGCTTGTTACGTCCCTACAATAAATGAACGATTTTTCATGTCCTGAATATCTGTAACATTTTATAGTTTCTTATGGATATTTACTTCTTTTGCAATAAAAAAAAACATATATAAATCCTTAGCCTACTTGCGAAAATTGATTTCACCAACTCGTCTAGTACAGACTACGATCAGTCGGCACATCCGTGCTTTCTGATTACACATTATCAAAACATAAATGTATATAGGCAGATACTAGATACTATTACAGAAACAGATGTCACCAACTAATTTAATTTGAAGCCAATAAAACTAATATTAGTAGAATTTTACACATATCACACATGCTAAAATAGATCATTCAAACATTAGGAGACAGAGTAGCTACCGTTATGAAACTTCACAAGCATTTGACATTTGTATGGTACTGAACAAAAAGGAAGAGCAATATTCGAGCAACACACAATCCCCACCCCCTTCTGCGCCCGACTATCCGTTTTCCTCGTGTAAAAAGCATCCGGGAAAAGGGTATTAAAATGGTCAAACTAAGATACTCTGATGGTCGCCTACCATGGTCAAATTTAAAATATTGAAGGCTAGACTATATAAAATTTAAACGATACATAAATTTTAAAAAGCCCAGAAAAAAAGCAAAAATAACTGAAATTTCTTGGGTAATCAATTTAAAAAAAAACTTTTGTTTTTCAAATTTTTCAAACTGTTAAAAATTTTTAAAATTGTACAACTGGGAAATTTTTTATTAAAATATAAAAAATTTTATCTAATTTTAAACCCCTAATCGATGACATATGGCAAATTGCACTACTGTATTTGTTTTGTAATTGAACTTAGCTTTTGTAAATTTAAATATTTCAATGTAACTATACGAATTATTATTTTCTTAATGCTTAATAATACATACAGATCTTGACGACTCAGCGACACTTGTCTTTTCCCAGTAGTTGCAATATTTATAAGGTCTATTCTGTCTAATTAAGGGTAATCTATATAGATTAACCTTCACATTTTATCATTTTTGAAACAGGAAATATTTATTTAATTTAGTCGATAAATTGATAAGCATATATTAAGATATACAGACATAATTCGTAAACATTTAACATGTTGACTTTTATAAACCCTTGTGTTGATCTTGAAAGCGTTGACTACATTACATCTTACAGTTAACTACGAGTACAATATTTAAATATTATCATTTGGCAATCTTAATAACTCGAATCCATCTATCATCATAGAATAATACCTCACAGATAATGTTATCAAACTTACGGATAATGAATATAAACTACTAAAATATAGCACTGACATTAAACTATGATGATGTAAAGAGGAACGTACGCATATCTTTATCCATTTAAATGAAACTTTCGTGACATTGGAAATACAGCCAGAGGTCGCCTGTATGGTCCCAGATGTTGTATTTTCAAAAAGCAGAGGCTCGTAATCTGTAACATATAAAAATAAAAAATATTGAGACTTTGAAAGTCTCTTATCAATTAAAAGTACACTTATTTCATTTCAATACTAGCTGTAATAAAATTCATGTTAATATTTAAATATGTATAAGAACCATTTCATACGCATCAACTGCATTTCATGAAATTCCTTGTAATTTATAAATACAAAAATGTTAAACATTCAAAAAAAATTACTACCGCATCAAATTTAAAACAATTTTTTTCATGTAGAAAATCAGACATTGTTGAATATGATAACATAACTCATGTTATTAAAACGTGATCAAAATTCAATTTTAATTCATGCAACCGTGGAAACATATTCGATTAATTAAAAGATAAACTCTGTGCAATTACAGGATCGAAATATTCTTAGAATCATATCTGGCGATACAGATCTCATATGAAAAAATGTAAATCTAAAGACAAACATAACGCACGTAGATAAGCAAAATTTTAATGTTTAAATCATAAATATATGAGAAAAAGATACTGTAGTGTAAATAAATAGGTTATGCTTACCTTTGACCCTAATAATCTGTGAATCAGTACTGGTTCCATCTGAACACACCAACTTTCTTCCATTGTCTTTCATGGTTAACTTGATAATTGTCAAGTTGAAGATGTGATTTGTCTCATCATATGATATCTTGTATTGATTCATGTATTTGGGGTTAATGTCACATTTGTTACGCACGCACTGAGCAATTGGTGAAATATCGTGTAGATTCATCCAAACAATGGCAAATGTTTTATTCTTGAACTTGCAAGATCTCGGCCACATTCACATGTTTTTCCGTAAGCAAGGCTGTCTGATTCCAATATATCAACATTTGAAGCTGAATTTAAAAAATACGTATCATGTGTAAGAAGGAAAATCATGAATGTGAAAATATAAATAAACCAAGCGTATAAAGATTATGAAATAAGTACAAGCCGATGGAAAAGAAATCATCAATTATTTTATCTCTGTTAAAATAACAAACCAAAGTTATATACCCGCAAATTATGAGAATGTACCGTTTGAAACTGAATAACTGTGACAAGTTCAGAACTCGTCTGGCTAATTTACTTATAGAGACTTATCAGTTGAAGTTGAGTTGCTGCCAAAGCGAATTTTCAATAGATCGATTTATTTTAATAATATCTGTCATATTTTGCGGGTCGGATCGGAATATCCGTCCCGAGGTGACCCGCCCATTTGGCGGTAACGAGGCTTGCAAACTTATGTCAGATATTTTTTCTTGCATATTCTACCATATCATATTTAATTCCTTTATATTTTAAATTCTTTATCTTTAATTTCAATGGAAATTTATATCATTACAACCGTAACTACTTTCTTACAACAGGGTATCAATTACAACTTTATTCATAACGGTAAAATGACGTCATCCTAAGCGTGCCATTGTACAGCACGACTCATCTGGCACCCCCATGCCAGATGAATTTTCCGGCATGGGTGAAACTCACGGAAACGCCAGTCTGGTATGCAAGAAGTCTCAATCTTAACCGCTTCAAAGTATAACATAACTAAAGTTTCCTTCTCTTTAAAAAATAAGCGAAGCGGTCGCCTAGTGTTTAAAGGGTGTCTGTCTCGATCAAAGGGATCATGGGTTCGAGCCCTACTCGGGCCACGACCATGATTCAATACAGTTCCAGGAAACGACCTCAAAAGTGATTAATATAAGTTGCAAGAACTTATTTCGCATCGAGCTAAATTAAATATGTTTAAACAAAGAACATGGGCACATTATTAATTTATTTTAATGTGTTTATATTGTCAAATTTTGACATGAAATTTTTTCTGTGATGATAAAAATCTTACCAAAAACTTTACAAATCCATAAAAAATACCATAGTATATACTTGTCCATTTATTAAATCGTACGTTAAGTGTATAAAGCTATATAAATTTGCTGTCTATACTTAAAAGGGGATTGGTTTATTAATCAAATTCCTTGTATTAAAGATACATGTAAGAGCAAATGTGCAAAATCGTTTAAATTATACTGACGCAAAAAAGAAACTGTGAACTTGGGTTTTACTAATTTTTGGCTACAGTATTATTGTAAAAACATTTAAAAATTTGGTACAAAAATCTTAAATATTCATCCGTCAACATGAGTCAGTGTTTTCTGTCATAATAAAAGATAAACGCTGTGTTTTCCAAGTTAAACGGACGCATTTTTTCCGAACAAAGGCCGTCTGTTTTCAGTATGACTTCCTGTATTTTACGTAGTTTATTTTACCAAAATAATGAAAGTAATATCAAAACTTATCAGGTACCCTTAGTTTATGATGTTCAATAAGCGTCTTACTAGTATATATTATATGTCAATATATATAATGTTTGTAATTTTTATGCCCCCGTCATATAATGCTTGGGCATATAGTTTTACCCTCTTCCGTCCTTCCGTCATTCTGTCATTCCGTCATCATCGGTTTCCGTTCATTATCTTAGTAACAGTTGCACGCATTCAACCCGAATTTGACATATGGATATGTCATGAGAAAATACAGGTCAAGTTCGAATTTGCTCATGGTTCAATGATTTTTGGCAGAGTTATGCCCCGTTTACTTTGAAAATAATAGGAAATTTTCAGTTTCCGCTCATTATCTCCCCAACGGTATTACACATTCAACTCAAACTTGACATATGGATACGTCAAAGAAATGCGCAGGTCAAGTTCGAATTTGGTCATGGTTCAATGTTTTTTGACAGAGTTATGCCCCTTTTACTTTGAAAATAATAGGAAATTTTAAGTTTCCAACGGTATAACACATTCAACTCAAACTTGACATATGGATACGTCAAAGAAATGCGCAGGTCAAGTTCAATTTGGTCATGGTTCAATGATTTTTGGCAGAGTAATGCCCCTTTTACTTTGAAAATAAAAGGAACTCTTCAGTTTCCGCTCATTATCTCCCCCAACGGTATTACACATTCAACTAAATCTTGACAAATGGATACGTCAAAGAAATGCGCAGGTCAAGTGGGAATTTGGTCATGGTTCAATGATTCTTGGCAGAGTTATGCCCCTTTTACTTTGAAAATAATAGGAAAATTTTCAATTTCCGCTCATTATCTCCCCAACGGTATTACACATTCAACTCAAACTTGACATATGGATACGTCAAAGGAATGCGCAGGTCAAGTTCGAATTGGTCATGTTTCGATGATTTTTTGGCAGAGTTTTGTCCCTTTTACTTCGAAAACAATATGAAATTTTCAGTTTTCGTTCATTATCTCTTTTAGGGTATTACACATTCAACTCAAATTTGACATCTGAATACGTCAAAGAAATGCGCAAGTTAAGATCGAATTTTGTCATGGTTCGATGAATTTTGGCAGAGTAATGCCCCTTTAACTTTGAAAAAAAGGAAATTTTCAGATGCCATTCATTATCTCCCCAACAGTTGTACATATTCAACTCAAATTAAAGATGTGGATATGTCATAAGAACGCATTGGTCAATTTCGAATTAAGTCATGGTTTGATAGCTGACAAAGTTATCCCTCTTGAACTTTGAAAAAAAAATCAGAAATTT